GGCACTTGCAATACATTGAACATAAAATGAAAGACAATGAAAGAGTCAAGGAGGTTTCATGACAAGTAAAAGAAATCCTGCAACTTCAAAAACAAAAGTCAGAACAGCAATTAGTATTGTCAGTCAACCCCAGGGAAGGATTCAGCATCATAAATATAAAACGCAAATTACACACACCATCCTTTTTTTCTTCTGAGCAGCCATCCACACACATAGGTATGAAATATGATGGTCAGCTATATATTTATAACACACACTACAATATATCATGCCAACAACAAATATAGGTAGTTCTCACTGATTATTCAAATATTTCCTGCTGCCCCAAGCAGCATGGAAACCACAGCCAGTGCAGAGCGTGATGCCTGCCTGAGCACAATTTCTCTCCACTTTGTACCATGAACTCCCTATTGATTTTCAAGCAAATAGTAAAAGGTACTGTCTTTGATGGAGATAAATGTCAAATTCCCTGGATACCTCAAAAAATACTTTTTGTCTTTAAGTACATCTTGGAATCACCTTGAACACAAACAATTTAGATTTCAAACTGAAATGAGAAAGGTACCTTGACTGAAGGACTGCCCTCTCTCTGCAGCCTTTGAGCTCTTGCTGACAGCATCAACTTAATGTGCTCTGCTCTGTGCTCTCCTGATTTCTCATATTAATAGTTAAAAAGGATAAAGACCTCAATTCATTAGAACAAGTATTTTACTAGGGATAAATTGAAATTATGTAATTTCATGGTATGGAAGTCAGTCAAAAATGTGTTGGTTGAGCTTTTAGAAATTCTACAAATTTCTGCAATACTATGAGCACATGCAACTTAGTAAAGGTGCCCAAAAACAGTAAAGGTATAGTAAAAAAAAATCACATGAACTTGCAAGAAATAGATCAAGACCACAGTGGAGATGCCACTGGCTTACCTCTCAAAACACAGAACAAATGCTTTGCAAGCAGCAGTCACAGATCACATCGCCTTAGCCAAGGTAATCTTTTTTAATTCTTTGCCTTGAAGGGCAACTGAACACAGTGGGAGAAGAGGACAGAAAGCATGCCAACTCATAACACTGCCAAAAGCACAGGTTTTTCCCTTAAGTGCAATATGCAGAGTTCCCAGTGCGGCAATGCAAGGCCTTCACACTGCAACCGGGGATTCTGGTTGGCAGCAGCTCCCTTATGCTGTCACCAGCTTTGTCTCCAGACTCACAGCTCACATCAACATTTATGTGCCACAGAACAAGCCAGATCCCATCACTGTATGTTCAGGTAAATATATAATTAAGCTCAGGAGGGAAGAAGGTCAATGGCAGCAGGAAGACACATGTCAATATACAGACAAACAGCACCTCCTCAGCTCAAGCACACAATGAAATGATACATGAATTCAAAAGACATCTATTGCTTTGCACCTATTGAATGGCAAATGTCCCAATTTTTAGTCAAATACAGAGTCAATGTAACTTGCATCACTTTTTACACTGTTATTAGTAAATTACTTGGCCCACTTCTCCAAAATTTTACATTAAAAAAATCACTTCAAAGTCATCTGAATTTCATGCAGTAAGCAGCCACTTGGGATTTTATACAACAAAGAAAATATGAGAATCTAACCTGAATGAAAGTAGAAAATAAACATGCCAAGATGAGTTTCGTTATATATGTCTGATGTGCAACACGTGAAATCAAATAGATTTGCATATTGATGCAACTGTCAGCCAGAAAAAAATCACTGCTTGGCTGTTCCTCCTATAAACAAAAAAGACCAGCCTCAGAGAATTCTGTTTCACTTTCCTTAGTAACACAGTCCTGTTCACTCTGCTGCTTCTTCACCCCAGGGATTCATTTTTATCTGACTACAAAAAGAGAAATCCATCAATCCAGTAAAAGGAATTAGCCAACTTCATTTCACTTTCCTGGGATACTACCACAAATGCTCAAACAGAAAGAAAAGCAATGGATTTGATAAGAAGACAAGGGCTTCCTATCAAAGGGTATCAGGGTACTACTGATCCTGTTCCAAGCTGTAAAGCCAGGATTGTCCTGAAAGCAAGTTACTGCATGCATTACTTTAAATTTTAGGAAAGGAATGGCTGATTTTGTGTCTTTGGAGGCAGGTATGTATCTTTTAGACTTTCAAAACAGTATGCTGAGATCAAGAATGTTTTATTTCATCTTTATGATCAGCAGAGGAAATAATTTTAAAAGCTGAAATGTATCTCGGGAAATGCATAAAAAACTAAACTCCACTGTTTGCCACATGCAGCTGGTGACAAATATTAAGCACAATAATTCTGAATACAAAGCATCATTCTAAACAGCTCAATCTGATCTTAAATTTTCCATCTTCAGCTACAGTTAAGGACACATCCCAGAAACGTTTTGCCAAATGAGAAAGCCAAGCATTAGAGTTGATTATTAGGGATTCTCAAACATTTTGACCAAAATCCACTTGTGAGCAAGCATTATCAGCTCCAGCTCTTCCATCATATGCAAACATGTCTGCATTCTACAGTGTGATATGAGAGCTTAAGCCTTCAGCAGTCAAACTGGACATATACCAACATAAACAAGCCTCTTGTTTTGCTCGTTTTTCTTCCCACTGAGTCTGTAGGCAGGGCAACACAGTGATGCATGTCACAGTCTTACCCTAGGTACTAGTATCAGGGGCTAGAAAAAAAACTCTGTATCTATTCCTCTATCATTTTTAGATTAAGCTATTAACAGAGTCGATCTGCCTCGAAAGCAGCAGTCAGGTTTGGTTCTTAACCACAGGATCATTGAATTGTTTAGGCTGGAAAAGGCCACCAAGATCATTGAGTCCAACCATTAACAGAGCACTGCCAAGCCCACCATTAAAACATGTCCTGAAGTGCTACATCGACACCTTTTAAATACCTCCAGAGATGGGCCTCAGCCAGCATTGGCCCATCCATTTGCTCCACCAGTGTCCATTCCCCAAGAGTACATCAGAGCAGTAATGCTCTTTCTTCTTCAGGGATATCACCTAGGCCAGAGATTCCTCGGTTTCTCATGGGGACAGAAAAGGTAACAAGGCTACATTACCTCAGAAAACAACTCCTTTTGAAATAGTAGATAGCACTTGTAGTGTTTCCTAAATTCTTAAAGTACAGCCTCTTCCTGCTGTGAAATAATTCAACTGTTTCTCTAGGTCAAGAGACAGAAGTCTGGACTGGAGGTGCTGAATGTGGATAGTGCCGGGTAATATGGAAATTATTCTATTCTCAGTCGGAAAAAATATGTCAAATTCAAACAGGTGAAGGAATAGAACTGTAACATTAGAAATACTCTCTGCATATGAATTCTTATCCACATTCTAGTTACACATACTTTTTTCAAAACACGTTTTAAAGACCTTGCAGAAGATGTTACGAAGCAGCAGGATAAAGATGTATATAATTGTTATAACTCTCACTACTTATCCAGAGCTAGCTGCTTATAATGGAGAATGCAATGCACCCAGTAATTTCAATTTATTATTCAGCTACCATTAAAATCATTGAAGTATTTCTTACAGATCTGCAGGCAGTTCTACTAGAACGGTATTTCTAACAAATCTATATTTCATAACATGTTCACAAATCACCACTGAATGAAATAGCTTCAGGGAAGAATTTTGCTTTGTTTTTAACTTTCATTCTGTTCCGCTGACTGGCAGGACATCTAGAGAGCCTGTTGCCTGAGTTCAATCTTATTGAAAGCCAAGGCATATGGGATAACTATCACCAGATACTCACTGTGATTTTACTGAAGGGTTTTGGTCATAAGACACAAACTGAAATCTGTTCTCTTTTCTCATATTATGTAGACCCCAATAAAAAGCTTCTATATGTATAATGTCTGAAACATATGGAGATGTGTAACTGAATCATTAACCACACAACGTAAATCCATTTTCTTGAAAAAAGCTGCCCGTGAAAGACAATACCTGCAGTGGCATGGCAGAAGTGTAAATACTTCTACAATTAGAACATGTTTTTATTCACATCAGCTGTCATTATGCTCATCAATATCAAAGCTACTGATATGAGGGAACCCATCATTCTGATTTATTAGAAATATTCAGTGAAAAAAAGATAATTTTCTGTACTAATCAAGTTCATTACTTTGGAAAATGTTAGCATATATTTCCTTTTTTTCTGTCCCGTGAGTGTCATGATAGTCTCTCTGCTGGAACGGTAAAGTTGTCTCACCTACCACTGAATAGCTAAAGTTTTTAAAGATATCACATGTACCAAACCTCTCTTTCAGAGTTGCTTCATTATTATTGGAAATGTGATTATCGAAACTTGATTAAATATGTGAAATCACACAAGACACTCCGCTTCACAAAACATAACTCTCAATGGAAGCACGAGATCAAGAAGTATATTTTAAGTGTGTTTACTGAATTATTTTATGCAATATAGAAGCACTGAGGGAATTTAGGGATAAAAAACCTGCAACAAATAACAAACATTAAAGTGGATGAAAAAATATTTTACATGTATATAGTAGATTATTTTGAGGTGGAATGGTTGCAATGATTGTAAACAAACTGTTGTAAACAAACTAAACTTAGAGGAGTCCAAAATTCAATTAATTCCCTTCACATTATTTTGTTCAAGCTTTTCAAAAACGGTAAATAAAAGGCAAACAACTTATCACATATATTCAGCATTGCTCTCAGAGCATTAGAAAAATATACTTGAAGCATATTCTGCTTTTACCCCTAAAAATTTATTTGGTATGGATATTGAAAAAGTAATACAACTTTAACGTACAAACGAAACATCTGATTAACAGGGATCTCATCTTGTTCTGATGTGAAGGTAGTATGTTACCTGTGCAAAATGGTCTCAGCCACTTTCACTCGAGCACATGGCAGTGAGTAGCACTTTGATTCATAGGGATCTGTGTACATGTTCAGCAACATCAGTTGATACTTTCTGCTTATCTTCATTTACACACAAACTTAAATTAAGAAAAAAAACACCACTTACTTGCTTTTTCCTTTGTACACTGTAGCATAGGACCCTTCCCCTAGTTTTTCCAGTTTTTCATATGAGTCTGCTTTTCCAAATTTAGGGCTCGTAGGCTAAACAGAACAAAAGAGATGACCTTTCAGCATGTATTGAACCCGTAACATTAACTGCTTTGATTCAGCCTTTAGAGATCAAACATCATTATTAAAACTCATACACCTGCATGTTTTCAGCAGCCAATAACAACAAAAAAATTAATAGGAGAGCTAATGAAACATTATAATAGATTACTCAAAGAAAAGATCATTCAACACCCCAGATGGTGGTTGCTGATATTAACCATACACTTATATCATTGGAACTATCAAAAGGATTTTGTTCTTAAGAGACATTTCTGTTTTATTTTTCACATATATAACTTCATAGAGGGAAAAAGATCACTAACAACTAAAGCACCTTATTGATGTTTAGAGATCTAAACAGCATCTTTAGTCTGTCTTGAAAAAATCAGGCTAAGAGAGCTGTTTAAGTTTTATATTTTTTTAAATTTTATTTTAGACTAAAGCCCCCCCCAAAATATTGCTCTAACTAGTCAATGTCCTATTACATCAACAGGTAAGCATCTTCAATGATAGTATTTTAACTCTGATTACAGTCTTCAGCTTATGGATATAATCACACCATATTTTATTGTATATGTGGGAGCGTCGAATAAAGTCCTGTATCCTTAATATCTGCAGCCTAAGTGAGGGGGCCTAAAACTGAAAGAGGCTAAACAATGATTCTTGCTCAAAGGGCAGATAGCTCAGCTGGCCTTTGCAACAGACTGATACTTGCCCACTTTTACACAGTTCTAACAGAGAACAACTCAACGCTGCACAAATAGGAATTTACCTGACATGAGAACTTTCCATTGAAATTCTTGGAAAAATTTTGATTTTTATTAACTGCATCCCATTTTCCCAAATTTCCCCATTTTCCAGTTGTCTGGAAGGAAAGGGCTTTTTATTTTTCCCCCAAGACTAGATGGACACTGCAAAAAATTTACCTGCAACTGCCCTCAGCATTACCCACATATATTTTAGACTGCAGTGCTCATATGTTCTATACCTAAACCAACCAAAAGATCACAAAGCAGAAACTTTGGAGGGTCAGCAGAAACTTTGGAGGATCAGCACTAATACTCAAATCCCATAGAGAGACTGATTTGATGGTATTCTGGTTAAACGCTACAAAGAAAAGCAGACAAGCAAACCCAGTGTGTTTAGGGTTGAATTCAGCTGAGAGGCTCTAAGCCATGTGTGCAGTTGTATACACGATACACTCACATTTAGGATCCTAGGCCTGATTTACAAAAAGTATTCATGTTTCAGGATTTTTTAAAGGAAACGAACATTACAGTACAGGACACATTTGTGTGTAAATTCCTGTTAAACCATGGTTGAAAGTTTTAAATCAACTGATCCTAAAAATTGCTTCTACTTAAACAGACAAGGACATTCCAGGTAAGCTGACTTAGTACCTCACATCCAATGAACCACTAGCCAGAAAATGAAGCATTCTCTTTACTCAATTATCCTTCATTTGTTCTATGCAAAAATTCTGGCACTTTGCCATATATACACTTTTTTTGAGATGAACATTTCAGCTTTCTATTGAATGGTATAAGGACATACTCATGTATGTTTGCAAATTTGACTCTTTACACCTCTCTCCATTACAAAGAACCACCTATTATTTTGCTATCCAATTCCTAAGTATTAATAGACTTGTGAAAATTTCTCAAAGAAAACTCTCACATCTTTTTCCTGCTACGTTATTTGGAACACTTCATTATAGATAAGGCAGTAATCTTGGTTTCCAATCTGCGCTTAAAAAGGCATTTTGCCTAGTTAAAAACAATTTTTTTTAATTATAGTTTTATTACAGATGCTACTAATAGAGGTGACTAAAATATTTATTCAAGTTGTCTTCTCATTTAAGTGCCCAATAATGGACTGATGCAACATTAAAAAAAACTTCAGAAAAAGAGCAGTTAGATGTTTAAATGTCTTGTATATAATGAAGAAGGACAGCAAAGTATTTCCCAAATTGCAGGCTGCAATGAACACACAGTGAGCAGCTTTGTCTGCAGTGGAAATGCTGCCCTAGTTAACAGTGAATAGTTCACTGTTGGCTTCCTCATAGCAAAACAGAAAAAGGAGAGGGTTTATACATGTGTTTCACATCCATTCTTATTTTCACACTGAGATTTACTTTTATTCTCTACTGCTGGAAACCATAATATAAAGGTCACAACAACTTGTGAGCCTTAAGATCTTGATAGGAAACAGGATGCCTTTAATCCATTACCACACAGCATATCATCAACAGTAATTATTCCTACAACCTCAAGCTCCTTTCTCCATACTCCAGCTGCCAGAAGCACAGATTTAAGGTCATGCCTTTTCACTCATTCTCCTCCTGGATGTTGCTGCATCCTCACCAAAACCAGCAAAACTCTAAACACTGATGTTGACTGGACAAGGAGAAGAGCTCACTCCTGATCCTACAAGAGAGGTCTTGTGCTCAGGGGCAACCTCACACAATGCCCCAGGGCTCAGCTCTGAGCAGCAAGGCTGACCTGACACCCTTCCAAAACAACCTCCGTCACTTGTCCAGTGCCTGCTCACTTTGGGTAAGAGCAGACCAGAAACAACCCAAAACGCAAATGGTAAGCCACTGCCTGTCTGTGTGCAGTAAAACCACCTGGCTGATATCCTCTTCTTTCCAGGTTACAGCACCTCTGTAGTGAAGTTCAGCCCTACTCCAACTGGACCGCTAGACTGGATTGCCCATGTTCTTACACTATTAGATCTCCTTTTGTGAAAATAGACATTATTTTTCCTTGCATTTGTAATCTTAAAAGGCTTACAATTTTTGAAAGTATCTTGTGTAGAAAAGCATTTCAGAGGATTTTATTTAAAAAATTTAAATAAATTCTCAGGCAAAAGAAGACTAATTTGCATGATACTTCTTTATGAAACACCAAAATACTGAGAAAATGCAATTACTTCAGAAAGTTAAGGAACAGCTTTACCATTTCCCCAACATTTTCTCAGTTTTTTTAAAATGAAGTCTCATACATCAATTCAAACTTATAATTACAGATTGCTTATAATGGTAAGAAGTTCAGACACTTTTTACCTTTCCTTTTATTTCTGTATTACAAAGGAGGTGAAGACTGACTAAGATAATGCAAAAATACAAAACTTTCCAAAACTTAGGTTTGAAGCTTAAAGGGATCTAAATAAAGGGTTTAGGAAGGAGCCAAACTAATTTGAAGTTCCACATGACTGCTGAAAATTATAACCACTTCAGTCTACTTCTCTTTATTATTACAGTCCCTCATTCATATGTGTAACTTTTCAGCTTCATGGACATGAATTTCATTATTCAGATTTCTCCACGTTAATTTATCCTTTTCAATCACTTCTGTCAAAAAACATACCTTGCTACAGTGAGGTTGGGATGGTTTTCTAGCAAATGTAAATATTAAAATCAAATACGGAAAATTTACTTTTAAGTACAATTTCTTCTTCAAAAGTATTTTATTCCTTCTGGTAAAATGTATGGGAATGCATGCACACAGAGATTTCTGTTTGTTGAAACCCAAGAGTCCCATACTGTGCCTGGGATGTGGTTGACTGAAATACACGTGGTGAGTGAGACATATCCAGAGCACGTCAGTGCTTGCATCAGACACTGACAGATCGCACAAGCAGCAGACTCACAAGGACCTTCCCTATATTTTACATAGGTGCAATCCTCCAATTTGACCCAGACAATATTTCTCAATGAAAATTGTACTAATTTTATTTTGGAAAAAGCTTTTCAAAGCCACTTTTTGAAGATCTAACCTTATAATACTTCTATCACTGTTAATTTTCCGTTCCTCTTACTCTTTTTTACTGCTTTTTAGCCCTCTGAAACACTAAGGGAGAATCATAGAATCGTTTAGGTTCAAAAAGACCTTAAAAATCATCAGGCCCAACTTTAATCCTAAAACTGCCAAGCCCACTACAAACCATATCCCCGAGCACCGTATCTACACGCCTTTTAAACACCTCCACAATGGTGACTCAATCACTTCCCTGGGCAGCCTGTTCCAACACTTGACAACCCTTTCCATGAAGAAATTTTTCCTAATATCCAATCTAAACCTCCCCTAACACAACGAGGTAATTTTCTCTCATCCTATCTCTTGCCACTTGCGAGAAAAGATCAACTCCCACCTTGCTACAACCACCTTTCACGTAGTTGTAAAGGTCACCCCTCAGCCTCCTTTTCTCCAGACTAGACAACCCAAACTCCCTCAGCCACTCCTTATATAACCCTCTAGACCCTTCCCCAGCTCTGCTGCCCTTCTCTGGTCACACTCCAGCACCTCAATGTCTCTCTTGGAGTGAGGGGTCCAAAACTGATCCCAGAATTCAAGATGTAGCCTCACCAGTGCTGAGTACAGGACAATCATTGTCCTGGTCCTACTGGCCGCACCTGGCCACACTGCTGGCTCATGTTCATACATCTGTCAATCAAAATTTGTCATGACATAGCATGACTGTGATAAAAGCACAATATTTGTCATGTCTGAAAATCGGTTATTTACTGGATCTGAAAATTTTTTGCTTATGTTTATTAAAGCCTTCAAATAATTTCTTTAAAATTCTTATCACAATTTGTTGGATATAAGCCTAGGGGAGACCTCCTTCCTGCGGCCCCATAGACTTCTGTGTCTCACTCATCAGTGAGACTACCTAGGCATAAAGAAACCTGTTGCTCCATATTAGTGTTTTGTATTTGTTAAAAAAAAAGAAGTTACAAAGCTAAGAAAAAAAACCCAGACAGGTGTATATGTGAACAATATTGAGCTATATAATAGACAAAGTTAAATAGGCAGTAAACAACCAGTCAGCAAGTAGTTTATATCACTGGAAAACTCACTGCAAAGTGAACTTTCATGCTATGGAGAAATCTTCCAAATAACTCAAATGGGAAAGCTAGATGAATTACCAAGACAGAAGGGAGTAAAGATCCTCATGCCTCTAAAGAGCATAGTCCCCAGTCATTGTGA